CCTGGTCAAATAATAACAAATCTTTTTATGTTATGTATGGTATATTTCTAATATTTTTAACAGAAGAACCAAATAGTTGGCATACATTTTTTTGTTAAAATATAATCACAAAGACATTTTGATATAAAAAAGAGCATTTCTTTTGTTTGCCATTCTCGAAATTAAATTCATTTTATAAATATTATAAATACAAAACATTATTTGAAACTTATATACGTTCACTCGCAAAAATCTTTTCAGCCCTTTTAATGATATTTTCGGTGTTATTATGGTGATAATTTATATCACAAAAATGACAATATAAAGTTATATTGGTAACTTAATTTTTCAAAAATTTGTTAATTTTAATTTTTGGAAGTTTTAATAATAAATGCGACTCTGGGTTTAACAGGTGGATCTTAAAAAGTCAAAACCTGAAAAGTCCAAAAAAATATTATATAAGTAAGCCAAAAAGTCCAAAATATTATAATTATAATAAAATTATAATAAAATTTAAAAACCCTAAAAATTGAATTATTTTTAAAATTTTTGAATAAAACGATAAAATATGATTAGAATTTGAACATTTGTCAAAACAATTGGTATTTGTGATAAAATATTAATAACAAGAAAATGGTTTAAAATGTTGAATGTTATAAATTATATATAAATTTGATTTTAACTAAAACAATTAAAATACAAAACTATGTATTATTTAAAAGTTTCACCAAACAAATAGTGATATAACAACTAAAAAACAATTTGTTGTTACTGATACATTAAATAAATGAACATAACTTGAAATCACGATTTATATGATATCATTTAATTAATTATAAACTAATTTAACATATTTTAACCCTGAAAATGCATTTTTAATAACAAACAAATCTTTAAAATAAAAACATGAGCTCAGAATCAAAGTTGTTTTTTGGACAATGGGAACAAATTGAAGTCCCCACTGGTTTATGGTGGGTTTAAATATATATTTAGTTACTTAATGTATTCTAAATGTGTCGGATGTAAGTCAAGACTTTCAGTTGATATTGATGTTTACGATAATATCATTGGAGTTAATAATGTTAGAATTCATAACATGAATAAACATGGCTCTTATGATTTGGACTCTGCTAGATTGAATTCGATTAAAGCAATTAAAATAAAGACTTAAAAAAATACAAGTTGATCTTGTAGCAAATCCACGAACCAGAAACAGTTTAATTGCCGACCTTTACAAAGAACTACAACTTTCAAGAAAACAATATCTAAAATTAAAAGTAACGGAAAAGCAAAATATAACATTCCAAACACTTTTAACGAATTATTAAAACATAAAAATTCTCTCATATTGGATTCTCGTGCCGACGAATTGATAATGTTTGGTTTAAATTCTGGATTTTTTTTTCTAAGTCTGAATACATTATGGAAGACGGAACATTCATAATAATTAATGGAAAGGACAGTTGTATATATCATATGCGTTTATTAATAGAGTCGCTACCTTGTATCTCTTTGTTAACATGAGAAATAGTAAAACTAACAACTATGTTGAAGTGTTTGCAGTGATTGAAAAATTAGCAGAAGAACGTGAATCAATATTTTTAGAAAACACAAAATTTTTATTGGAGATCTTGAAAAGGCTGTAATTTCAACAATGGAGTCATTATTTCCATATGTCCGCTTTCATGGATGTTTTTTTATTTGACCCACAACATTATTGAAAAATTAAAAACACCAAAAATTGGAATGTTCGATATTTTTAAAAATAACAATGACACTTATAAATTTATTCGACGTATTCTATGTACTGCTTTTTTACCTATTGAATATTTAAACCGTATTACTTTAAATATGATTTTTGATTCTTACAAGGGTGTTGATAATGGTATAGTAACAACAGATTAAATTAACAATTTATAATTGTTTCTTATTAATACTTATTTTAAAATTGGTATAAAAAATGCTATATATCCACCATCTGATTGGTATTGTTTTGGTCAACCAATTAGATGTGACAATTATTCCGAAGCTACACACCGTATTTTGTATAATTTTATACACAAAAGGTTGAAGTTGTGGCATTTTTTGATTTAATAATTCACACCTTAAAAGAAGATAAAGATAAAACTTTGAACCATAGAGTCACTGGAAATCCCATATCTCCCTTAATTAACAAAATACTAAAAATGGAAACTATATTATTTTTGGAAAAAAAGAAACAGTGTTCGATTATTTAAATCGAATTTCGATAATTATCCAACTCAAAATTGAAAATGAATGTTCAACTTTTTATTATACAAATTACAATGAATTATCTTTACAACAACTCGCTAATAAAGTTGAACTCTCAGACCTTAAAGCACTTCAAATGGGGGAGTCAACTAAAATATCATTTGAAACTTTGTTCCTCCTTAAAGACTTGACTGGTGATAACTTAATTGGACCTTTAACTAATATTACTCTTGGTAACTGGGATTTTTTGAAATCTACCGAAGATAAGAAAAGATTTTTTACCCATTCGTAGAAGTCAATGATTTGTATTATTCTGTAGATGAAAATTTGGATTTGGTGTGCGAATTTTACAAAAACCCATCAAAACACCGCAACGACGAAGATCTGTTTGTAACTCAACTTGATAGTGACATATCTCCAGTTGAAGACGAACACGTTAATTTTCAGAATGAAGAAGTAAACACTGTCGTCCCAGGCACCCAACAAACAGACGATGGGTATTTATCAACGAACCCCCGTGTTATTTCTCCTCAAAATCCCAACGGTCAAAGACAACCATCTGAACCACAATTGTACACACCAATTCCTGTGATGCTTGTAACATTCCCTTTAACCTCAGAACAATCGAGTCATATTTTACAACTTCCACCTTTCTCTGCAAATCAGGGAATACAGCAATTGCTTCAATGGTCAATGCCATTAGCTCCAATGAATCCACAATGTTATCAATTTGGATTGCCTCTGGTTAATCCACCGAACATTCAATGAATCGAAGTCCTTAACAAGATCAAGTCGGCAGGTGTTGCTAGTGTCATGTCTTACGTCTAATGTACTTTTTGAGACTTGTGATTTTATGCTCACAAGACTTTAGTTTCTATGGTGAAGAATGTTGGTATAATGTTCCAAGCAGTGATATGGTTCCACAAATGTGTTAATAACTTTGGAGACTCTATAACGATTGAGATTCCACAATGGGCCCGAAAAGCTGGCGCTTTCAACGACGCAGAAAACAACGTCGCCAACAAGTACATTTCTTTATAATGACCAAATTATCTTCGAAGAAAGAACTTCTATTGAAACATCCAAAAAGATTTCATGGCGTCTTGCAAACAGAAGTTCCAAAATTACATCGACGACGGAACACTCAACGAGATCCAAGTTGGTATGGGACCATGCGATGAAATAATATACCTGTTATATCCACTCTCGAGATGGAGTTACTGAGGCATTGGAAAGTTCCAATGCAGTGACATCAAGTCACATAAAAACTTGAAAATGCAGCAAACAATACTGGGCACTCCGAGTGACAGAACACAACTAACACCGCTTGGACTTTAACAAGTTGTCTTTGATTGTAAATGATATTGGAGTTAATAATGTCAAGGAGGGCCATTAATTTAGTTTTAATCACTTTGGAGATTTGAAAAGTAATTCAAAATAGATATTTTTTACTTATAAGCCATATGCTATATTTATAATTGATTATAATAAAAATGATAAAATGTGATATTTTTGAAAGAATTGATAAATAAATAATATTTCTTTATCAAGTTTATTATGAAAAAAAATTAGTAAAAAAATAAAAAAGTATAATTTGATTAACTAAACAATGTTTAAAAATGTAAATAGACAGACAGACCTATTTTCTGGGATAA